ACAGGACAGAATCCCAGGAGGGCGGGTAGGTGAATGCAGGACGGGGTGGACTTGGGAGCCTTTCCCCTGGGCGCCTCCCTCCCCGGGCTCAATTATTTGGCTTCATCTCTGAAGACGAACAGGGTATCTATCCCTGGCTCCCACTGCGGCTTTGGGTTTTCCAGATGGTCTCTTCCTGACATGACAGGATTGAATCTCGGCTCTGCCACTCTGTAACGGACCCCTGAGGTAAGTGGCTGCATCTCTCTGAGCCTCAGTTTTTCCATTTGTGCAATAGAAACAGCCCGGCTGGCCTCCCTCACTCCTGATGAGCATCCAGTGGGGAAAAGAGGCAAAATCATCGTTGAGAGGTGTTAGGGGCTGAATGGTGTTACAGTCAGCCCCCCAATTCATGGGTTGTAGCTCTAATCTCCGAGCCTCAGAACAAGATTCAGGTGAAGTTAAAATGGAGCTATTGGGATGGACCCTAATTCAATTATTGATTGTTGCCCTTATGAGAAGGGGAAATTTGAACAAAGAGTCAGCCAAGATATGCATACAGAGAAAAGGAACATGTGAGGACCCAGCAGGGAGGTGGCCATCTGCAAACCAAAGAGAAAGGTCTCAGGAGAAACCCACGCTGCCCACACCTTCATCTTGGACTTCCAGCCTCCAGGACTGCGAGCTCACTCTCTCTTGCTGAAGCCCCTAGTCCACGTGTTCCACCAGGGCAGCCCTAGCAGGCTAGGACAGACGGCCTGGTCACAGTGGCCTTTATAACTAGGACCGCTACTTCCACTCCGAAGGCCCAGCCCCAGATACGCACCTCAACCCTGTGATGTTGACTCCTTCATACTCAGGGATTCCAGAATAAATTGTGTTCATCTGAAAGGTAAGAGGTCATTCTATCATCCCAGAGGTCCCATCTAGGGGCCTGCTGGGCCTTTCTGTGGAACGTCAGGAGGGTCAGCAAGGCCGCCCTGTCCCTCAGCACCTCCCAGTCCTCCTCCCCAGTTCTCCCTGGAATGGAAAGATTCCTTCCCAGAGACCAAGGTTCCTCCACCCAGCAGCCTCCAGAGGAAGTCGGTTTCCTGTGTCCAGCCTCCCTAGCAAGTCCGAGGACATGAGGGAGCCGAGAACTCACAAGTCCACTGAGGAAACAGCCCTCAGCTGCTTTCCTAACCCCTCTGGACTCCTCCCCGGGGGAACTGAGGGGCCCTGGGGACTTGCTCTCCCAGGTTTACCTGTTCCGTGAATGTGTCATTGAACTTCTTGAATTCCTGAGAAGACCGGTCCTGTAGCTTATCACTGTATGGCTCACTAGTCACGGTCACGGTCAGTTCCATTTGAGCAGTGACCGTCTGTGGTGGTGGCTCTGGAGGGAAGTGACAGGAGCACCACTTAACTGAGCAAGCATCACCTCTGGGCTCCCTACCAAGGAGCCCTGAACCCCCCAGAAGCCCACCCTGGGTGGAGGCAGCAACCTGGGTCTCTCCCGACCCTCTGTCCCCTGGGAAGAGAGGTAAGTATCCTCTAGTCCTCAGGGATAAGGGATGAAGCCCAAGGGGCCTTGGGTCTTATATTCTCCTAGAAAATTCTGCCCATATTGCCCTGGGCTGTGTTCCTCAGCTTATGATGGGGTTACATCTGGATAAACCCATCATAAATAAAAAATATCATAAACTGAAAGGTGTTGCGCCCACGAACCTACAGAAAATCATAACAGAAACCCTGTAGAGTGCCCGTCGCTCCCCTGCACCCCTGGGTGACCGTGGGGCTGGCTGGGAGCTGCAGCTCTACATCTCAAGAGAATATACCTGACATCCCTCGCTTGGGAAAAGATGCACATTCACACTTTGCAGTATGGTTCCCACTGAATGCATATCACTTGGGCACCAAGAGAAAGCCCCCAAATCTTAAGTTGAACCATTCTGAGCTGGGGACCGTCTATGTTGCATTTTATGGTCAAATTCTGGGCCAAATTGGTATTTTGTTCCAAATTATACCTTCTTCTTTATTCACTTAAAAATGTTTTTAACTCTCATCATTAGGTTAATATCAATCCCCAAAGTGGCCATGCTCCCTGCCACACGCCGCAATGGGACAGGAACAGGTGCCTAGTGGGACACCCTGGGCCTGGCGCTGGGGAGAGGAAGGGTGTGAGGTCTCACGTACCAATCTCGATGCTCTCCACCACATTCTCACACAGTGGCCCATAGTAGAGGCTGGGACACTGACACTTGAGCCCATCCCAGAGACCTCCATTCTGGCAGACATTGGTCAAAAACTGACATCGATCTCCTGTGAAGCCCGGGGGACAATCACAGGCCACTCCTGTCCACTTCCCTCCGTTCATGCAGGTCACTGAAAGGCAGAAGGTCATGGTCAACCACACGATTTGCACAGCATATGATAGTGGGGAGTGTGTTCTCAAAGATGCTGTCTGATGGGATACTCTCATGAGACCTGGGGTGCGAAGGTGAATTAGGATCATGCCCACTTTACAGATAGGAGAAGGGAGGCAGGAAGAGGCCTGTCCAAGAGTTCAGGCAGAGGCAGCCTGGACCCCCCTTCTCAGAGTTCATCTTGCTTTACTTCAGCACATGAGGAAGGAGAAACCTGGTGTCGTGACAGGTGACACCATCAGGACCGAGGAAGAGAAAACAGGAGGCGGAATAAGGGAAACCAGAGAACCGGACCAATCGAGATTCCATGAAGGTTAAGAATGAACGTGGTCATTGTCCCTCAACCCCTGCGTCAGAAGAACTCATTACTGTTAACATCTCTTTAGGATGCTTCTCATATTTCCTGGCTCATGGAACTTGAGGGAGAGTCTAGACACAGTTTAAAAAGACAGGAAGTGGAGGCAGGTATGGTGGTGCACACCTGTAATCCCAGTGACTCAGGAGGCTGAGTCAGGAGGATCGCAAGTTTGATGCCAATCTCAGCAACTTAGTGAAGCTCTCAGTAACTTAGTGAGACCCTGTCTCAAAATAAAAATAAAAAATAAAAGGGGCTCGGATGTGACTCAGTGGTTAAGCACCTCTGGGTTCAATCCCTGATTACCCCCAACCCGCCCCCCCCCAAAAAAAAAAGACATGGTTCAGCTCTTGGTGAACTGTGCCAATCAACCTGCAAAATCTAAAGCACTTTTTGACTTTTCTGGAATATTGTTGTGCCCGTGAAGAGCAGATTTCAGGGTGTGCACATGAAGGACGTGTATACTCTGCAAAGACTGCTTTCTGTTCTAACCCCACCAGACTCAGAGAGCAGGGGCCACATCCTGCAGCCTCTAAGTCAAGGGTCCCGGCACACAAGAGAGTCATAAATCCTAAATCAGTTCGTTCTTCTCCCTTCTCCCTCTCTCATTACTGAAGATGCTCAGACCTGATTTAAGTGTTATATCTTTTCACAAACTCAAGCACAGGTTTGCGAAAAGATACGAAAACAAAACTTGGGGGTCCTCATCTGTTGGCTAACAGCCTAAAGGGAAGTACAGCCTCTGGGGAAGAGAAAGAGGACAGAAGTGGAAACCATTAGCCTTCAGAGTGGTGACCAGCACAAGTGGTGAGCCCCACGGGAGTGCAGGCAATTTTTGTGCAACACCTGCATGGTTTGAGGTGTGCCCCCCAAAGATGCATATGCTGAAATCTTAGTCCCCCGTTGAGTAGTAGGACCTTGAGGAAGTAAGTCCACACAGAAGCTAACTAGGTCCATCTGGGCCTCATCCTCATGAATGGATTAATGCTGATCTGGCAGAGTGAGGAGGGTCTTCCTCAAGAGGTTGTTATAAAAAAGCAAGGCTGGGGCTGGGGATATAACTCAGCTGGTCAAGTGCTTTCCTCACATGCAAGGCCCTGGGTTCAATCACCAACACCATCAAAAATAAACAAATAAATAAAATAAAAGGCAAGACTGGCCTGTCCCCAAGCTCCTGCTTCCTAACTTGCACACACGACCTTTCTGCATGTGCCTGGTGCTTACCCTTCATATTGGGATGCAGCCAGGGAAGCGATGCCCATATGCCAGCTCCATGCTGTTCTAGTCACCAGAATCATGAACCAAATAAACACCCTTTGCTTATACTCTACCAATCATCAGGTAATATGTCACAGCAACACAAATGAACTGAGGCAATACGTATGGGACATTCTACAGACAAAAGACTCAGGTCTCCGACCTGAAGAAGCTTGGGGGCCCTTGTCAGAAAACCAAAGAGCTCAACAAGAGAAAGACAACTGCGCAGAACCCAGATAACTTAAGAAGAAACTATAAAGTCCTGAATCCCCTGGCCAAGAGAGGAAGAATATCCTTTTATTTTTATGAGTTAAACATGGATTGGGCAAATACTGCAGGAAACAGATCATAAATATATGAGAAGGCCCAGGAGAAATCTAGCTCAAGGAATGTACTCAAGTGTTACAATAACTGTATTTTATTTAATTAAGGACAAATATCCTTTGCTCATCTGGAAAAAAATATATAAAGTCTTACATTATATAATATACATAGTAAATAAATGGGCCATGACATTCTAAGAGAAAATGTGTGAGCGGATATCACACCAAAAGCAGAATAAACAGAGACAAGTCCAAGATCCGCAGTCAGAAAAAGTTACAACATAAAGAGAGACAATACCTCAAGGTCATGAAGGTAGAGTTAAAAATGAATAAAAGACAGTATACCTTCTCTAGAGAAGAAGGACAAAAATGAGAGTTAATGTGGAGAGAGAAAAGGATGCCAAACATACACATAAAAACTAATGGCATCAAGCTGATGAAGATTAAATCTCATGCACATGCACAAACAACTGAGAATTCAAATTTACTATGATGAAAGAGCATTAAAATATTGAGAAACAAAACAGAAAACAAATGGATATAATAAGGTAAAAAGTTAAAATGTTAAAAGGGAAAAGATCGGAAAATTTAAAAAGAGTAAATGAAATATGAAAGTATACGATGCAAAAAGATGAAGAGAAATCTTTAAAAAAAGAAAAATTACAAAATAAAAATGAGAAATTACGTACCACTTGTGCTAGGAACAATGGAGGTGGTAGTTGAAGTGGTTGTAGATGTAACCCTAGAAGTGGTAGAGGGAGAAGAGGATGTGGGTGATGGCATGGAGGTGACGATGCTGGGGCTCGAATTTGCACTAGCAATGGTAGTGGTTCCCAGAACAGGGTACGAAGAGGTGGAGGAAGAGGTGCCCTGAGTCCAGGCAGGAGAGGCCACGGTGGTGGTGCTGGCTGGGACACTGGTCGAGGCAGAGGTCCCCTGAGTCGTGGCAGGGGAGGTCACGGTGGTGGTGGCAATGGTGGCCTCAGGAGTTGGGGATGCAGAAGTGGTGGAGGAGGCAGAGTTGGTGGCTGGGACAGTGGCAGAGGAGGAGGTCCCCTGAGTCGTGCCAGGTGACATCACGGTGGTAGTGGCAGTGGTGGCCACAGGACTGCTGCCGGAGGTAGAAGTCACACCTGTGGTACTGGCTGGGACAGTGGATGTGGAAGAGGGCCCTTGCGATGTAGCACGTGAGGTCACAGTGGTGGTGGGAGTGATGGCCTCAAGAGTTGGGGAAGCAGAAGAGGTGGCGGATGCAGAGGTCACAGCAGTGGTGCTGACTGGGACAGACCCTGAGGTGGAGGTCCCCTGAGTGGTGGCAGGTGGGGTCACGGTGGTGGTGGCCTCAGGAGTTGGGGAAGCAGAAGTGGTGGCAGAGGCAGAGGTCACTCCTGTGGTTGTGGCTAGGACAGTTGCCAAGGAGGATGTCCCCTGAGTCGTTCCAGGTGAGGTCACAGTGGTGGTGGCAGTGGTGGCTACAGGAGTGCTGGCGGAGGTAGAAGTCACCCATGTGGTACTGGCTGGGACAGTAGCTGCGGAAGAGGTCCCCTGAATCGATACAGGTGAAGTCACGGTGGTGGTGTCAGTGGTGGCCTCAAGAGTTGGGGAAGAAGAAGTTGTGGAAAAGGCAGAGGTCAACCCTGTGGTTGTGGCTGGGAAAGTGGACAAAGAAGAGGTGCCCAGAGTTGTGGCAGGTGAGGTCACGGAGGTGGTGACAGTGGTGACCTCAGGAGTTGAGGAAGCAGCAGTTGTGGCGGAGGCAGAGTTCATTCCTGTGGTGGTGGCTGGGACAGTGGCCGAGGAGGAGGTCCCCTGAGTCGTGCCAGGTGACATCATGGTGGTGGTGGCAATGGTGGCCACAGGACTGCTGGCGGAGGTAGAAGTCACACCTGTGGTACTGGCTGGGAAGGTGGCTGCGGAAGAGGGCCCTTGTGTCGTGGCAGGTGAGGTCACAGTGGTGGTGGGAGTGGTGGCCTCAAGAGTTGGGGAAGCAGAAGTGGTGGCGGAGGCAGAGGTCACAGCTGTGGTGCTGACTGGGACAGTGCGCGTGGTCGAGGTCCCCTGAGTGGTGGCAGGTGAGGTCACGATGGTGGTGTCCTCAGGAATTGTGGAAGCAGAAGTGGTGGCGGAGGTAGAGGTCACTCCTGTGGTTGTGGCTGGGACAGTTGCCGAGGAGGACGTCCCCTGAGTCTTTCCAGGTGAGGTCACAGTGGTGGTGGCAGTGGTGGCTACAGGAGTGCTGGCGGACGTAGAAGTCGCCCCTGTGGTACTGGCTGTGACAGTGGCTGCGGAAGAGGTCCCCTGAATCGTTACAGGTGAGGTCACGGTGGTGGTGGCAGTGTTGGCCTCAGGAGTTGGGGAAGAAGAAGTTGTGGAAAAAGCAGAGGTCACCCCTGTGGTTGTGGCTGGGACAGTGGACAAAGAAGAGGTCCCCAGAGTTGTGGCAGGTGAGGTCATGGTGGTTGTGGCAGTCGTGGCATCAGGAGTGGGGGAAGCAGCAGTGGTGGCAGAGGCAGAGGTCATCCCTGTGGTGCTGGCTGGGACAGTGGTCGAGGAAGAGGTCCCCTGAGTGCTTCCAGGTGAGGTCACGGTGGTGGTGGCAGTGGTTACCTCAGGAGTTGGGGAAGCAGCAGTGGTGGCGGAGGCAGAGGTCATTCCTGTGGTGGTGGCTACGACAGTGGCCGAGGAGGAGGTCCCCTGAGTCGTGCGAGGTGACGTCACGGTGGTGGTGGCAGTAGTGGACACAGGACTGCTGGCAGAGGTAGAAGTCACACCTGTGGTACTGGCTGGGCCTGTGGCTGCGGAAGATGTCTCCTGAATCGTGACAGGTGAGGTCACGGTGGTGGTGGCAGTGGTGGCCACAGGACTGCTGGCGGAGGCAGAAGTCACACCTGTGGTACTGGCTGCGATGGTGGCTGCGGTAGAGGGCCCTTGGGTCGTGGCAGGGGAGGTCACAGTGGTGGTGGGAGTGGTGGCCTCAAGAGTTGGGGAGGCAGAAGTGGGAGCAGAGGCAGAGGTCACAGCTGTGGTGCTGACTGGGACAGACCCCGAGGTGGAGGTCCCCTGAGTGGTGGCAGGTGAGGTCACGGTGGTGGCCTCAGGAGTTGTGGAACCAGAAGTGGTGGCTGAGGCAGAGGTCACTCCTGTGGTTGTGGCTGAGACAGTTGCCCAGGAGGACGTCCCCTGAGTCGTTCCAGGTGAGGTCACAGTGGTGGTGACAGTTGTGGCTACAGGAGTGCTGGAGGAGGTAGAAGTCACCCCTGTGGTACTGGCTGGGACAGTGGATGCGGAAGATGTCCCCTGAATCGTTACAGGTGAGGTCATGGTGGTGGTGGCAGTGTTGGCCTCAGGAGTTGGGGAAGAAGAAGTTGTGGAAAAGGCAGAGGTCACCCCTGTGGTTGTGGCTGGGACAGTGGACAAAGAAGAGGTCCCCAGATTTGTGGCAGGTGAGGTCATGGTGGTTGTGGCAGTGGTGGCCTCAGGAGTGGGGGAAGCTGAAGTGGTGGCAGAGGCAGAGGTCATCCCTGTGGTGCTGGCTGGGACAGTGGTCGAGGAAGAGGTCCCCTGAGTGGTTCCAGGTGAGGTCACGGTGGTGGTGGCAGTGGTGGCCACAGGACTGCTGGCGGAGGTAGAAGTCACACCTGTGGTGCTGGCTGCGATGGTGGCTGCGGTAGAGGGCCCTTGCGTCATGGCAGGGGAGGTCACAGTGGTGGTGGGAGTGGTGGCCTCAAGAGTTGGGGAAGCAGAAGTGGTGGCGGAGGCAGAGGTCACAGCTGTGGTGCTTACTGGGACAGTGCCCGAGGTCGAGGTCTGCTGAGTGGTGGCAGGTGAGGTCACGGTGGTGGTGGCCTCAGGAGTTGGGGAAGCAGAGGTGGTGGCGGAAGTAGAGGTCACTCCTGTGGTTGTGGCTGGGATAGTTGCCGAGGAGGACGTCCCCTGAATCGTTCCAGGTGAGGTCACAGTGGTGGTGGCAGTGGTGGCTACAGGAGTGCTGGCGGAGGTAGAAGTCACCCCTGTGGTACTGGCTGGGACAGTGGATGCGGAAGATGTCCCCTGAATCGTTATAGGTGAGGTCACGGTGGTGGTGGCACTGGTGGCCTCAGGAGTTGGGGAAGAAGAAGTTGTGGAAAAGGCAGAGGTCACCCCTGTGGTTGTGGCTGGGACAGTGGACAAAGAAGAGGTCCCCAGAGTTGTCGCAGGTGAGGTCATGGTGGTTGTGGCAGTCGTGGCATCAGGAGTGGGGGAAGCAGCAGTGGTGGCAGAGGCAGAGGTCATCCCTGTGGTGCTGGCTGGGACAGTGGTCGAGGAAGAGGTCCCCTGAGAGGTTCCAGGTGAGGTCATGGTGGTGGTGGCAGTGGTTACGTCAGGAGTTGGGGAAGCAGAGGTGGTGGCAGAGGCAGAGGTCATTCCTGTGGTGGTGGCAGGGACAGTGGCCGAGGAGGACGTCCCCTGAGACGATCCAGGTGAGGTCACGGTGGTGGTGGCAGTGGTGGCTACAGGAGTGCTGGCAGAGTTAGAAGTCACCCCTGTGGTACTGGCTGGGACAGTGGATGCGGAAGATGTCCCCTGAATCGTTACAGGTGAGGTCATGGTGGTGGTGGCACTGGTGGCCTCAGGATTTGGGGAAGAAGAAGTTGTGGAAAAGGCAGAGGTCACCATTGTGGTTGTGGCTGCGACAGTGGACAAAGAAGAGGTCCCCAGATTTGTGGCAGGTGAGGTCATGGTGGTTGTGGCAGTCATGGCATCAGGAGTGGGGGAAGCTGTAGTGGTGTCCGAGGCATAGGTCATCCCTGTGGTGCTGGCTGGGACAGTGGTCGAGGAAGAGGTCCCCTGAGTGGTTTCAGGTGAGGTCACTTTGGTGGTGGCAGTGGTGGCCACAGGACTGCTGGCGGACGTAGAAGTCACACCTGTGGTGCTGGCTGGGATGGTGGCTGCGGAAGTGGGCCCTTGTGTCGTGGCAGGGGAGGTCACAGTGGTGGTGGGAGTGGTGGACTCAAGAGTTGGGGAAGCAGAAGAGGTGGCGGAGGCAGAGGTCACAGCTGTGGTGCTGACTGGGACAGTGCCCGAGGTCGAGGTCTGCTGAGTGGTGGCAGGTGAGGTCACGGTGGTGGTCGCCTCAGGAGTTGGGGAAGCAGACGTGGTGGCAGAGGTAGAGGTCACTCCTGTGGTTGTGGCTGGGACAGTTGCAGAGGAGGACGTCCCCTGAGTCTTTCCAGGTGATGTCACGGTGGTGGTGGCAGTGGTGGCCACCGGACTGCTGGCGGAGTTAGAAGTCACACCTGTGGTACTGGTGGGGATGGTGGCTGCCGAAGAGGGCCCTTGCGTCGTGGCAGGTGAGGTCACAATGGTGGTGGCAGTGGTGGATTCAAGAGTTGGGGACGTAGACGTGGTGGCGGAGGAAGAGGTCACAGCTGTGGTGCTGACTGGGACAGTGCCTGAGGTGGAGGTCACCTGAGTGGTGCCAGATGAGGTCACGGTGGTGGTGGCGGTGGTGGCCTCAGTATTTGGGGAAGCAGAAGTGGTGGCGGAGGCAGAGGTCATCCCTGTGGTGCTGGCTGGGACAGTGGTCGAGGAAGAGGTCCCCTGAGTGGTTCCAGGTGAGGTCACGGTGGTGGTGGCAGTGGTGGCCTCAGGAGTTGGGGAAGCAGCAGTGGTGGCGGAGGCAGAGATCATTCCTGTGGTGGTGGCTGGGACAGTGGCCGGGGAGGAAATCCCCTGAGTCATTCCAGGTGACGTCACGGTGGTGGTGGCAGTGGTGGCCACAGGACTGCTGGCGGAGGTAGAAGTCACACCTGTGGTACTGGCTGGGCCTGTGGCTGCGGAAGAGGGCCCTTGCGTTGTGGCAGGTGAGGTCACAGTGGTTGTGGGAGTGGTGGCCTCAAGATTTGGGGAAGTAGAAGTGGTGTCGGAGGCAGAGGTCACAGCTGTGGTGCTGACTGGGACAGTGCCTGAGGTGGAGGTCCCCTGAGTGGTGGCAGATGAGGTCCTGGTGGTGGTGGCGGTGGTGGCCTCAGGATTTAGGGAAGCAGAACTGGTGGTGGAGGCAGAGGTCACTCCTGTGGTTGTGGCTGGGACAGTTGCCGAGGAGGACGTCCCCTGAGTCGTTCCAGGTGAGGTCACAGTGGTGGTGGCAGTGGTGGCTACAGGAGTGCTGGCGGAGGTAGAAGTCAACCCTGTGGTACTGGCTGGGACAGTGGATGCAGAAGAGGTCCCCTGAATCGTTACAGGTGAGGTCATGGTGGTGGTGGCAGTGGTGAGCTCAGGAGTTGGGGAAGAAGAAGTTGTGGAAAAGACAGAGGTCACCCCTGTGGTTGTGGCTGGGACAGTGGACAAAGAAGAGGTCCCCAGAGTTGTGGCAGGTGAGGTTATGGTGGTTGTGGCAGTGGTGGCATCAGGAGTGGGGGAAGCTGAAGTGGTGGCAGAGGCAGAGGTCATCCCTGTGGTGCTGGCTGGGACAGTGGTCGAGGAAGAGGTCCCCTGAGTGGTTCCAGGTGAGGTCACGGTGGTGGTGGCTGTGGTGACCTCAGGAGTTGAGGAAGCAGAAGTGGTGGTGGAGGCAGAGGTCATCCCTGTGGTTGTGGCTGGGACAGTGGCCAAGGAGGAGGTCCCCTGAGTCGTGCCAGGTGACGTCACGATGGGAGTGGCAGTGGTGGTCACAGGAGTACTGGCGGAGGCAGAGGTCACTCCTGAGGTACTGGATGGAACAGTGGCTGCAGAAGAAGGCACGTGTGTCATGGCAGGTGAGGTCACACTGGTGGTGGCAGTGATGGCGTCAGGAGTGGGGGAAGAAGAAGTGGTGGCGGAGGAGGAGGTCACTCCTATGGTTGTGACTGTGATAGTGGCTGAGGGGGAGGTCGCCTGAGTCATTCCAGGTGATGACACAGTGGTGGTGTCAGTGGTGGCCACAGGAGTGCTGGCTGAGGTAGAAGTCACACCTGTGGTACTGGCTGGGACAGTGGTGGCGGAAGAGGTCCCCTGAATCATTGCAGGTGAGGTCACGGTGGTGGTGGCAGTGTTGGCCTCAGGAGTTGGGGAAGAAGAAGTTGTGGCAAAGGCAGAGGTCAACCCTGTGGTTGTGGCTGGGACAGTGGACAAAGAAGAGGTCCCCAGAGTTGTGGCAGCTGAGGTCATGGTGGTTGTGGCAGTGGTGGCCTCAGGAGTGGGAGAAGCAGAAGTGGTGGCGGAGGCAGAGGTCACAGCTGTGGTGCTGACTGGGACAGTGCCCGAGGTGGAGGTCCCCTGAGTGGTGGCAGGTGAGGTCACGGTCGTGGTGTAAGTGGTAGCATCAGGAGTTGGGGAAGCAGAAGTGGTGGCGGAGGCAGAGGTCACTCCTGTGGTTGTGGCTGGGACAGTTGCCGAGGAGGACGTCCCCTGAGACGATCCAGGTGAGGTCACAGTGGTGGTGGCAGTGGTGGCTACAGGAGTGCTGGCGGAGGTAGAAGTCACCCCTGTGGTACTGGCTGGGACAGTGGATGCGGAAGAGGTCCCCTGAGTCGTTCCAGGTGAGGTCACGGTGATGGTGGCCGTGGTGGCCTCAGGAGTTGGGGAAGAAGAAGTTGTGGCAAAGGCAGAGGTCAACCCTGTGGTTGTGGCTGGGAAAGTGGACAAAGAAGAGGTCCCCAGAGTTGTGGCAGCTGAGGTCATGGTGGTTGTGGCAGTGGTGGCCTCAGGAGTGGAAGAAGCAGAAGTGGTGGCGGAGGCAGAGGTCACAGCTGAGGTACTGACTGGGACAGTGCCTGAGGTGGAGGTACCCTGAGGGGTGGCAGGTGAGGTCACAGTGGTGGTGGCCTCAGGAGTTGGGGAAGCAGAAGTGGTGGAGGTGGCAGAGGTCACTCCTGTGGTTGTGGCTGGGACAGTTGCCGAGGAGGACGTCCCCTGAGTCGTTCCAGGTGACGTCACGGTGGTGGTGGCAGTGGTGGCCACAGGACTGCTGGGAGAGGTAGAAGTCACACCTGTGGTACTGGCTGCGATGGTGGCTGCGGAAGAGGGCCCTTGCGTCGAGGCATGTGAGGTCACAGTGGTGGTGGGAGTGGTGGCTTCAAGAGTTGGGGAAGCAGAAGTGGTGGCAGAGGCAGAGGTCACAGCTGTGATGCTGACTGTGACAGTGCCCGAGGTGGAGGTCCCCTGAGTGGTGGCAGGTGATGCCACAGTGGTGGTGGCAGTGGTGGCCTCAGGAGTTGGGGAAGCACAAGTGGTGGAGGTGGCAGAGGTCACTCCTGTGGTTGTGCCTGGGACAGTGGACAAAGAAGAGTTCCCCAGAGTTGTGGCAGCTGAGGTCATGGTGGTTGTGGCAGTGGTAGCCTCAGGAATTGGGGAAGCAGAAGTGGTGGCAGAGGGAGAGGTCATCCCTGTGGTGCTGGCTGGGACAATGGCCGAGGAGGAGGTCCCCTGAGTCATGCCAGGTGACGTCATGGTGGTGGTGGCTGTGGTGGCCATAGGACTGTTTGCGGAGGTAGAAGTCACACCTGTGGTACTGGCTGGGACGGTGGCTTCAGAAGAGGGCCCTTGCGTCGTGGCAGGTGAGGTCACAGTGGTGGTGGGCGTGGTGGCCTCAAGAGTTGGGGAAGCAGAAGTGGTGGCGAAGGCAGAGGTCACAGCTGTGGTGCTGACTGGGACAGTGCCGGAGGTGGAGGTCCCCTGAGTGGTGGCAGGTGAGGTCACAATGGTGGTGGCAGTGGTGGCCTCAGGAGTTGGGGAAGCAGAAGTGGTGGCGGAGGCAGAGGTCACTCCTGTGGTTGTGGCTGGGACAGTTGCCGAGGAGGACGTCCCCTGAGTCGTTCCAGGTGAGGTCACAGTGGTGGTGGCAGTGGTGGCCTCAGGAGTTGGGGAAAAAGTTGTGGCAAAGGCAGAGGTCACCCCTGTGGTTGTGGCTGGGACAGTGGACAAAGAAGAGATCCCCAGAGTTGTGGCAGCTGAGGTCACGGGGGTGGTGGCACTGGTGACCTCAGGAGTTGGGGAAGCAGAAGTGGTGGCGGAGGCAGAGGTCATCCCTGTGGTGGTGGCTGGGACAGTGGCTGAGGAGGAGGTCCCCTGAGTGCTTCCTTGTGAGGTCACGGTGGTGGTGGCAGTGGTGGCCATAGGACTGCTGGCGGAGGTAGAAGTCACACCTGTGGTACTGGCTGGGATGGTGGCTGCGGAAGAGGGCCCTTGCGTCGAGGTAGGTGAGGTCACAGTGGTGGTGGGAGTGGTGGCCTCAAGAGTTGGGGAAGCAGAAGTGGTGGCGGAGGCAGAGGTCACAGCTGTGGTGCTGACTGGGACAGTGCGCGTGGTCGAGGTCCCCTGAGTGGTGGCAGGTGAGGTCACGATGGTGGTGTCCTCAGGAATTGTGGAAGCAGAAGTGGTGGCGGAGGTAGAGGTCACTCCTGTGGTTGTGGCTGGGACAGTTGCCGAGGAGGACGTCCCCTGAGTCTTTCCAGGTGAGGTCACAGTGGTGGTGGCAGTGGTGGCTACAGGAGTGCTGGCGGACGTAGAAGTCACCCATGTGGTACTGGCTGGGACAGTGGATGCAGAAGAGGTCCCCTGAATCGTTACAGGTGAGGTCACGGTGGTGGTGGCAGTGTTGGCCTCAGGAGTTGGGGAAGAAGAAGTTGTGGAAAAAGCAGAGGTCACCCCTGTGGTTGTGGCTGGGACAGTGGACAAAGAAGAGGTCCCCAGAGTTGTGGCAGGTGAGGTCATGGTGGTTGTGGCAGTCGTGGCATCAGGAGTGGGGGAAGCAGCAGTGGTGGCAGAGGCAGAGGTCATTCCTGTGGTGGTGGCTGGAACAGTGGCCAAGGAGGAGGTCCCCTGAGTCGTGCCAGGTGACATCATGGTGGTGGTGGCAGTGGTGGCCACAGGACTGCTGGCGGAGGTAGAAGTCACACCTGTGGTGCTGGCTGGGATGGTGGCTGCGGAAGAGGGCCCTTGCGTCGTGGCAGGTGAGGTCACAGTGGTGGTGGGCGTGGTGGCCTCAAGAGTTGGGGAAGCAGAAGTGGTGGCAGAGGCAGAGGTCACTCCTGTGGTGCTGACTGGGACAGTGCCTGAGGTGGAGGTCCCCTGATTGGTGGCAGATGAGGTCACAGTGGTGGTGGCGGTGTTGGCCTCAGGAGTTGTGGAAGCAGAAGTGGTGGCGGAGGCAGAGGTCACTCCTGTGGTTGTGGCTGGGACAGTTGCCGAGGAGGACGTCCCCTGAGTCGTTCCAGGTGAGGTCACAGTGGTGGTGGCAGTGGTGGCTACAGGAGTGCTGGCGGAGGTAGAAGTCACACCTGTGGTACTGGCTGGGACGGTGGCTGAGGAAGAGGACCCTTGCGTCGTGGCAGGGCAGGTCACAGTGGTGGTGGGAGTGGTGGCCTCAAGAGTTGGGGAAGGAGAAGTGGTGGCGGAGGTAGAAGTCACCCCTGTGGTACTGGCTGGGACAGTGGATGCGGAAGATGTCCCCTGAATCGTTACAGGTGAGGTCACGGTGGTGGTGGCAGTGTTGGCCTCAGGAGTTGGGGAAGAAGAAGTTGTGGAAAAGGCAGAGGTCACCCCTGTGGTTGTGGCTGGGACAGTGGACAAAGAAGAGGTCCCCAGAGTTGTCGCAGGTGAGGTCATGGTGGTTGTGGCAGTCGTGGCATCAGGAGTGGGGGAAGCAGCAGTGGTGGCAGAGGCAGAGGTCATCCCTGTGGTGCTGGCTGGGACAGTGGTCGAGGAAGAGGTCCCCTGAGTGGTTCCAGGTGAGGTCACGGTGGTGGTGGCTGTGGTGACCTCAGGAGTTGAGGAAGCAGCAGTGGTGGCAGAGGCAGAGGTCATTCCTGTGGTGGTGGCTGGCACAGTGGCCAAGGAGGAGGTCGCCTGAGTCGTGCCAGGTGACATCATGGTGGTGGTGGCAGTGGTGGCCACAGGACTGCTGGCAGAGGTAGAAGTCACACCTGTGGTGCTGGCTGGGATGGTGGCTGCGGTAGAGGGCCCTTGCGTTGTGGCAGGTGAGGTCACAGTGGTGGTGGGAGTGGTGGCCTCAAGAGTTGGGGAAGCAGAAGTGGTGGCGGAGGCAGAGGTCACAGCTGTGGTGCTGACTGGGACAGTGCCTGAGGTGGAGGTCCCCTGATTGGTGGCAGATGAGGTCACGGTGGTGGTGTCCTCACGAGTTGTGGAAGCAGAAGTGGTGGCGGAGGCAGAGGTCACTCCTGTGGTTGTGGCTGAGACAGTTGCCGAGGAGGACGTCCCCTGAGTGCTTCCTTGTGAGGTCACGGTGGTGGTGGCAGTGGTGGCCATAGGACTGCTCGCGGAGGTAGAAGTCACACCTGTGGTACTGGCTGGGATGGTGGCTGCGGAAGAGGGCCCTTGCGTTGTGGCAGGTGAGGTCACAGTGGTGGTGGGAGTGGTGGCCTCAAGAGTTGGGGAAGCAGAAGTGGTGGCAGAGGCAGAGGTCACAGCTGTGGTGCTGACTGGGACAGTGCGCGTGGTCGAGGTCCCCTGAGTGGTGGCAGGTGAGGTCACGATGGTGGTGTCCTCAGGAATTGTGGAAGCAGAAGTGGTGACGGAGGTAGAGGTCACTCCTGTCGTTGTGGCTGGGACAGTTGCCGAGGAGGACGTCCCCTGAGTCTTTCCAGGTGAGGTCACAGTGGTGGTGGCAGTGGTGGCTATAGGAGTGCTGGCGGACGTAGAAGTCACCCATGTGGTACTGGCTGGTACAGTGGCTGCGGAAGAGGTCCCCTGAATCGTTACAGGTGAGGTCACGGTGGTGGTGGCAGTGTTGGCCTCAGGAGTTGGGGAAGAAGAAGTTGTGGAAAAGGCAGAGGTCACCCCTGTGGTTGTGGCTGGGACAGTGGACAAAGAAGAGGTCCCCAGAGTTGTGGCAGGTGAGGTCATGGTGGTTGTGGCAGTCGTGGCATCAGGAGTGGGGGAAGCAGCAGTGGTGGCAGAGGCAGAGGTCATTCCTGTGGTGGTGGCTGGGACAGTGGCCAAGGAGGAGGTCCCCTGAGTCGTGCCAGGTGACATCATGGTGGTGGTGGCAGTGGTGGCCACAGGACTGCTGGCAGAGGTAGAAGTCACACCTGTGGTGCTGGCTGGGATGGTGGCTGCGGTAGAGGGCCCTTGCGTTGTGGCAGGTGAGGTCACAGTGGTGGGGGGAGTGGTGGCCTCAAGAGTTGGGGAAACAGAAGTGGTGGCGGAGGCAGAGGTCACAGCTGTGGTGCTGACTGGGACAGTGCCTGAGGTGGAGGTCCCCTGATTGGTGGCAGATGAGGTCACCGTGGTGGTGTCCTCACGAGTTGTGGAAGCAGAAGTGGTGGCGGAGGCAGAGGTCACTCCTGTGGTTGTGGCTGAGACAGTTGCCGAGGAGGACATCCCCTGAGTGCTTCCTTGTGAGGTCACGGTGGTGGTGGCAGTGGTGGCCATAGGACTGCTCGCGGAGGTAGAAGTCACACCTGTGGTACTGGCTGGGACGGTGGCTTCAGAAGAGGGCCCTTGCGTCGTGGCAGGTGAGGTCACAGTGGTGGTGGGCGTGGTGGCCTCAAGAGTTGGGGAAGCAGAAGTGGTGGCGAAGGCAGAGGTCACAGCTGTGGTGCTGACTGGGACAGTGCCGGAGGTGGAGGTCCCCTGAGTGGTGGCAGGTGAGGTCACAATGGTGGTGGCAGTGGTGGCCTCAGGAGTTGGGGAAGCAGAAGTGGTGGCGGAGGCAGAGGTCACTCCTGTGGTTGTGGCTGGGACAGTTGCCGAGGAGGACGTCCCCTGAGTCGTTCCAGGTGAGGTCACAGTGGTGGTGGCAGTGGTGGCCTCAGGAGTGCTGGCGGAGTTAGAAGTAACCCCTGTGGTACTGGCTGGGACAGTGGATGCGGAAGATGTCCCATGAATCGTTACAGGTGAGGTCACGGTGGTGGTGGCAGTGTTGGCCTCAGGAGTTGGGGAAGAAGAAGTAGTGGAAAAGGCAGAGGTCACCCCGGTGGTTGTGGCTGGAACAGTGGACAAAGAAGAGGTCCCCAGAGTTGTGGCAGGTGAGGTCATGGTGGTTGTGGCAGTGGTGGCCTCAGGAGTGGGGGAAGCTGAAGTGGTTGCAGAGGCAGAGGTCATCCCTGTGGTGCTGGCTGGGACAGTGGTCGAGGAAGAGGTCCCCTGAATGGTTCCAGGTGAGGTCACGGTGGCGGTGGCAGTAGTGGACACAGGACTGCTGGCAGAGATAGAAGTCACACCTGTGGTGCTGGCTGGGATGGTGGCTGCGGAAGAGGGCCCTTGCATTGTGGCAGGTGAGGACACAGTGGTGGTGGGAGTGGTGGCCTCAAGAGTTGGGGAAACAGAAGTGGTGGCAGAGGCAGAGGTCACTCCTGTGGTGCTGACTGGGACAGTGCCTGAGGTGGAGGTCCCCTGATTGGTGGCAGATGAGGTCACAGTGGTGGTGGCGGTGTTGGCCTCAGGACTTGTGGAAGCAGAAGTGGTGGCGGAGGCAGAGGTCACTCCTGTGGTTGTGGCTGGGACAGTTGCCGAGGAGGACGTCCCCTGAGTCGTTCCAGGTGAGGTCACAGTGGTGGTGGCAGTGGTGGCTACAGGAGTGCTGGCGGAGGTAGAAGTCACACCTGTGGTACTGGCTGGGACGGTGGCTGCGGAAGAGGACCCTTGCGTCGTGGCAGGGGAGGTCACAGTGGTGGTCGGAGTGGTGGCCTCAAGAGTTGGGGAAGGAGAAGTGGTGGCGGAGGTAGAAGTCACCCCTGTGGTACTGGCTGGGACAGTGGATGCAGAAGAGGTCTCCTGAATCGTTACAGGTGAGGTCACGGTGGTGGTGGCAGTGTTGGCCTCAGGAGTTGGGGAAGAAGAAGTTGTGGAAAAGGCAGAGGTCACCCCTGTGGTTGTGGCTGGGACAGTGGACAAAGAAGAGGTCCCCAGAGTTGTCGCAGGTGAGGTCATGGTGGTTGTGGCAGTCGTGGCATCAGGAGTGGGGGAAGCAGCAGTGGTGGCAGAGGCAGAGGTCATCCCTGTGGTGCTGGCTGGGACAGTGGTCGAGGAAGAGGTCCCCTGAGTGGTTCCAGGTGAGGTCACGGTGGTGGTGGCTGTGGTGACCTCAGGAGTTGAGGAAGCAGCAGTGGTGGCAGAGGCAGAGGTCATTCCTGTGGTGGTGGCTGGCACAGTGGCCAAGGAGGAGGTCGCCTGAGTCGTGCCAGGTGACATCATGGTGGTGGTGGCAGTGGTGGCCACAGGACTGCTGGCAGAGGCAGAAGTCACACCTGTGGTGCTGGCTGGGACAGTGCCTGAGGTGGAGGTCCCCTGATTGGTGGCAGATGAGGTCACGGTGGTGGTGTCCTCACGAGTTGTGGAAGCAGAAGTGGTGGCGGAGGTAGAGGTCACTCCTGTGGTTGTGGCTGGGACAGTTGCCGAGGAGGACGTCCCCTGAGTCGTTCCAGGTGAGGTCACAGTGGTGGTGGCAGTGGTGGCTACAGGAGTGCTGGTGGAGGTAGAAGTCACACCTGTGGTACTGGCTGGGATTGTGGCTGCGGAAGAGGGCCCTTGTGTTGTGGCAGGGGAGGTCACAGTGGTGGTGGGAGTGGTGGCCTCAAGAGTTGGGGAAGCAGAAGAGGTGGCGGAGGCAGAGGTCACAGCTGTGGTGCTGACTGGGACAGTGCCCGAGGTCGAGGTCCCCTGAGCGGTGGCAGGTGAGGTCCCGGTGGTGGTGGCACTGGTGGCCTCAGGAGTTGGGGAAGAAGAAGTTGTGGAAAAGGCAGAGGTCACCATTGTGGTTGTGGCTGGGACAGTGGACAAAGAAGAGGTCCCCAGATTTGTGGAAGGTGAGGTCATGGTGGTTGTGGCAGTCGTGGCATCAGGAGTGGGGGAAGCTGTAGTGGTGGCCGAGGCAGAGGTCATCCCTGTGGGGCTGGCTGGGACAGTGGTCGAGGAAGAGGTCCCCTGAGTGGTTCCAGGTGAGGTCACTTTGGTGGTGGCAGTGGTGGCCACAGGACTGCTGGCAGAGGTAGAAGTCACACCTGTGGTGCTGGCTGGGATGGTGGCTGCGGAAGAGGGCCCTTGTGTTGTGGCAGGGGAGGTCACAGTGGTGGTGGGAGTGGTGGACTCAAGAGCTGGGGAAGCAGAAGTGGTGGCGGAGGCAGAGGTCACAGCTGTGGTGCTGACTGGGACAGTGCCCGAGGTCGAGGTCTGCTGAGTGGTGGCAGGTGAGGTCACGGTGGTGGTGGCCTCAGGAGTTGGGGAAGCAGAGGTGGTGGCGGAGGTAGAGGTCACTCCTGTGGTTGTGGCTGGGACAGTTGCAGAGGAGGACGTCCCCTGAGTCTTTCCAGGTGACGTCACGGTGGTGGTGGCAGTGGTGGCCATAGGACTGCTGGCGGAGTTAGAAGTCACACCTGTGGTACTGGTGGGGATGGTGGCTGCCGAAGAGGGCCCTTGCGTCGTGGCAGGTGAGGTCACAATGGTGGTGGCAGTGGTGGATTCAAGAGTTGGGGACGTAGAAGTGGTGGCGGAGGCAGAGGTCACAGCTGTAGTGCTGACTGGGACAGTGCCTGAGGTGGAGGTCACCTGAGTGGTGCCAGGTGAGGTCACGGTGGTGGTGGCGGTGGTGGCCTCAGTATTTGGGGAAGCAGAAGTGGTGGCGGAGGCAGAGGTCATCCCTGTGGTGCTGGCTGGGACAGTGGTCGAGGAAGAGGTCCCCTGAGTGGTTCCAGGTGAGGTCACGGTGGTGGTGGCAGTGGTTACGTCAGGAGTTGGGGAAGCAGCAGTGGTGGCGGAGGCAGAGGTCATTCCTGTGGTGGTGGCTGGGACAGTGGCCGGGGAGGAGATCCCCTGAGTTGTTGCAGGTGACGTCACGGTGGTGGTGGCAGTGGTGGCCACAGGACTGCTGGCGGAGTTAGAAGTCACACCTGTGGTACTGGTGGGGATGGTGGCTGCGGAAGAGGCCCCTTGCGTCATGGCAGGTGAGGTCACAGTGGTGGTGGGAGTGGGGGCCTCAAGATTTGGGGAAGCAGAAGTGGTGTCGGAGGCAGAGGTCACAGCTTTGGTGCTGACTGGGACAGTGCCTGAGGTGGAGGTCCCCTGAGTGGTGGCAGATGAGGTCCTGGTGGTGGTGGCGGTGGTGGCCTCAGGATTTAGGGAAGCAGAAGTGGTGGCGGAGGCAGAGGTCACTCCTGTGGTTGTGGCTGGGACAGTTGCCGAGGAGGACGTCCCCTGAGTCGTTCCAGGTGAAGTCACGGTGGTGGTGGCAGTGGTGGCCTCAGGAGTTGGGGAAGAAGAAGTTGTGGAAAAGGCAGAGGTCAACCGTGTGGTTGTAGCTGGGACAGTGGACAAAGAAGAGGTCAGCTGAGTTGTGGCAGGTGAGGTCATGGTGATTGTGGCAGTGGTGGCCTCAGGAGTGGGGGAAGCTGAAGTGGTTGCAGAGGCAGAGGTCATCCCTGTGGTGCTGGCTGGTACAGTGGCCGAGGAGGAGGTCCCTTGAATCGTGCCAGGTGACGTCACGGTGGTGGTGGCGGTGTTGCCCTCAGGAGTTGGGGTAGCAGAAGTGGTGGCGGAGTCAGAGGTCACTCTTGTGGTTGTGGCTGGGACAGTGGACAAAGAAGAGGTCCCCCGAGTTGTGGCAGGTGAGGTCATGGTGGTTGTGGCAGTCGTGGCCTCTGGAGTGGGGGAAGCTGAAGTGGTGGCAGAGGCAGAGGTCATCCCTGTGGTGCTGGCTGGGACAGTGGTTGAGGAAGAGGTCCCCTGAGTGTTTCCAGGTGAGGTCACGGTTGTGGTGGCAGTGGTGACCTCAGGAGTTGGGGAAGCAGCAGTTGTGGCAGAGGCAGAGGTCATTCCTGTGGTGGTGGCTGGGACAGTGGCCGAGGAGGACGTCCCCTGAGTCGTGCCAGGTGAAGTCACGGTGGTAGTGGCAAAGGTGGCCACTGGACTGCTGGCGGAGTTAGAAGTCACACCTGTGGTACTGGCTGGGACCGTGGCTGCGGAAGTGGGCCCTTGTGTCGTGGCAGGGGAGGTCACAGTGGTGGTGGGAGTGGTGGACTCAAGAGTTGGGGAAGCAGAAGTGGTGGCGGAGGCAGAGGTCACAGCTGTGGTGCTGACTGGGACAGTGCCCGAGGTGGAGGTCCGCTGAGTGGTGGCAGGTGAGGTCACGGTGGTGGTGGCCTCAGGAGTTGGGGAAGCAGAAGTGGTGGCGGAGGCAGAGGTCATCCCTGTGGTGCTGGCTGGGACAGTGGTCGAGGAAGAGGTCCCCTGAGTGGTTCCAGGTGAGGTCACGGTGGTGGTGGCAGTGGTTACGTCAGGAGTTGGGGAAGCAGCAGTGGTGGCGGAGGCAGAGGTCATTCCTGTGGTGGTGGCTGGGACAGTGGCCGGGGAGGAGATCCCCTGAGTCGTTGCAGGTGACGTCACGGTGGTGGTGGCAGTGGTGGCCACAGGACTGCTGGCGGAGTTAGAAGTCACACCTGTGGTACTGGTGGGGATGGTGGCTGCCGAAGAGGGCCCTTGCGTTGTGGCAGGTGAGGTCACAGTGGTGGTGGGAGTGGGGGCCTCAAGATTTGGGGAAGCAGAAGTGGTGTCGGAGGCAGAGGTCACAGCTTTGGTGCTGACTGGGACAGTGCCTGAGGTGGAGGTCCCCTGAGTGGTGGCAGATGAAGTCCTGGTGGTGGTGGCGGTGGTGGCCTCAGGATTTAGGGAAGCAGAAGTGGTGGCGGAGGCAGAGGTCACTCCTGTGGTTGTGGCTGGGACAGTTGCCGAGGAGGACGTCCCCTGAGTCGTTCCAGGTGAAGTCACGGTGGTGGTGGCAGTGGTGGCCTCAGGAGTTGGGGAAGAAGAAGTTGTGGAAAAGGCAGAGGTCAACCGTGTGGTTGTAGCTGGGACAGTGGACAAAGAAGAGGTCAGCTGAGTTGTTCCAGGTGAGGTCATGGTGGTTGTGGCAGTGGTGGCCTCAGGAGTGGGGGAAGCTGAAGTGGTTGCAGAGGCAGAGGTCATCCCTGTGGTGCTGGCTGGGACAGTGGCCGAGGAGGAGGTCCCTTGAGTCGTGCCAGGTGACGTCACGGTGGTGGTGGCGGTGTTGCCCTCAGGAGTTGGGGTAGCAGAAGTGGTGGCGGAGTCAGAGGTCACTCTTGTGGTTGTGGCTGGGACAGTGGACAAAGAAGAGGTCCCCAGAGTTGTGGCAGGTGAGGTCATGGTGGTTGTGGCAGTCGTGGCCTCTGGAGTGGGGGAAGCTGAAGTGGTGGCAGAGGCAGAGGTCATCCCTGTGGTGCTGGCTGGGACAGTGGTCGAGGAAGAGGTCCCCTGAGTGTTTCCAGGTGAGGTCACGGTTGTGGTGGCAGTGGTGACCTCAGGAGTTGGGGAAGCAGCAGTTGTGGCAGAGGCAGAGGTCATTCCTGTGGTGGTGGCTGGGACAGTGGCCGAGGAGGACGTCCCCTGAGTCGTGCCATGTGAAGTCACGGTGGTAGTGACAAAGGTGGCCACTGGACTGCTGGCGGAGTTAGAAGTCACACCTGTGGTACTGGCTGGGACCGTGGCTGCGGAAGAGGGCCCTTGTGTTGTGGCAGGTGAGGTCATAGTGGTGGTGGGAGTGGTGGCCTCAAGAGCTGGGGAAGCAGAAGTGGTGGCAGAGGCAGAGGTCACAGCTGTGGTGCTGACTGGGACAGACCCCGAGGTGGAGGTCCGCTGAGTGGTGGCAGGTGAGGTCACGGTGGTGGTAGCCTCAGGAGTTGGGGAAGCAGAATTGGTGGCGGAGGCAGAGGTCATTCCTGTGGTTGTGGCTGGGACAGTTGCCGAGGAGGACGTCCCCTGAGTCGTTCCAGGTGAGGTCACAGTGGTGGTGGCAGTGGTGGCTACAGGAGTGCTGGCGGAGTTAGAAGTCACCCCTGTGGTACTGGCTGGGACAGTCGATGCAGAAGAGGTCCCCTGAATCATTACATTTGAGGTCACGGTGGTGGTGGCAGTGGTGGCCTCAGGTGTTGGGGAAGAAGAAGTTGTGGAAAGGGCAGAGGTCACCCCTATGGTTGTGGCTGGGACAGTGGACAAAGAAGAGGTCCCCAGAGTTGTTGGAAGTGAGGTCATTGTGGTTGTGGCAGTGGTGGCCTCAGGAGTGGGGGAAGCAGCAGTGGTGGCAGAGGCAGAGGTCATCCCTGTGGTGCTAGCTGGGACAGTGGTCGAGGCAGAGGTCCCTTGAGTCTTGGCCGGTGAGGTCACAGAGGTGGTGGCAGTGTTGTCCACAGGAGATGTGGAAACAGAAGTTGTGGTGGAGGCAGTGTTCACAGCTGTGGTGCTTGCTGGGACAGAGTTGGAGGCAGAGGTCCCCTGAGTCTTGATAGTTGATGTCATGGTGGTGGTGGCAGTTGTGGCCCCAGTAGTTGGGGAAGTAGAAGTGGTGGCGGAGGCAGAGGTCACATCTGTGTTGCTGGCTGGGAGATTGGTCTTGGCAGAGGTCCCCTGGGTCCTTGAATGTGGGGTCACAGTGGTGGTGGTAGTAATATCCACTGGAGGTGGGGAAGCAGAAGTGGTGTCGGCGGCAGAGGTCTCAGCTGTGTTGCTGTCTGGGAGAGTGGTGGAAGCAGACCTCCCCTTATTCATGGCAGATGTGGTCACAGTGGTGGTGGTACTGGTGGCCACAGCAGCTTGGGAAGCAGAAGTGGTGGCGGAGATGGAGTTCGCTGCTTTGGTGCTGGATGGGACATTGGCCGGGGAAGAGCTTTTTTGTGTATTGTCCGTTGAGGTCTTTGTGGTGGGCTGATTGGTGGCCACAGCAGTTATGGCATTTGGGCTGGTTGGAGAGGCTTCTTGTGCGGATGTATTTGTACTGTTCATGGTGTTGAATGTACCTGTCTCCCGTGTGGTCGAACTGGTCCCTTCTGTGGAGCTCTGAGCACGTATGCTTGTTTCCCTCCCAGTGCTGAGCGATGACTTGTCTTTAGTCATTGGGGATGTGTTTGTATGGACCTGTGTCCTTGTCATTGTTGGTTCACTGGCATTGGATGTACCCGACCTTGTGCTGATTCTCCTTGGAACTCCATCATTTTCCCTCGTTTCTTTGTTCATCTTCTCAAATATCTGTGCACCTGCAGTCATTTTGGGGAGAGGTACCATTTTAAAGAAGAGAAGCTTCACATATTGTTTAGGTTTTCAATCTCTCCTGGCGTTTTGAGCTTTCCCACTGTGATGTGTGTCTTTAAAATTGCTTCAAATACACACGGCTCTTTAGGTTGCACCCGCATCTTAATGTGCTAAATTTCTGTTTGTTCAAGCTCTTCCCTGGCCACTGTTTCAGATAGAGTCATTTTATTGGAATTCTTTGTCAGATCTGAATTGAAGGCTTGCACCCCCTCTGCCTGTCTGTCTGTCCCCATTGCCCTCTCTTTCTAGGCTGCATCCATTGCCCTCTGCCCAGTCTGTCTGACGGGCTCCCTTCCACCCCTCGCGGGTCTTTCCTCACTCCCAGGAGGCAGATGCCGTAGAATCTCGGATCTTTGGCAACCTGGCAGTGTCGGGACCCCTTCCCAGGATCTGTAGGGTACCCTTGCCTCACCTCCTGTGTTGCTTTCCAACAGGCGCTGGCACGGGGAGTCCTGGGAGTCCTCTTGGGGTGGGCACCCTCCTCCATCCCACACAGCCCCGCTCTCGCTGAGTTCTGAAAGACAGAGAAGCCAGTTTGCTTCCTGGAGCCACCATCTTCTTTGAGTTTCTGGGTCCTTCCTTCTTTAAAACCTCTGAGTTACCATCCCTGCTCCTGCAAGGCCCGGTCCCTGGCCCGGGAAACTACCTCCCATCATGGAATCAGGCACCTACCTGTCCTTGTCCCCCATCGAAGTCAAGCAAGAAGATGGGGGAACGGGTGGTGCTCTTACTTAGGATTTACTGTACTTCCTTAGCTCTCGATCAGAATTTTAATGGAGAAAAGAATTGATTGGTCTATCAACAATTTCAAATTGTCAACGAGGAAAATGTAATTTCAAAAAAATTTCAGTGACTTTGGTGAAAATATCATTTCCAGCCATAAAACCATATTTAGAATGCATTCTTCAGATTATCAACAGGGACTCTGTGTTAATAAATATAGCTTGAAAACTAATAAAAGTGGGTAAATATTTCCAAAAATTGTCATTCTACTTCCATTTATTGAGTGTCAAGAGTACCAATATGAAATGTTTCCATTTCGCCTTAATGCATATACATACATGTTACTTTAATTTTTTAAAGATTTTATTTCTGGTCAGAGTAATTTTAGATCCATCAGTATAACAAAATTAATTTGCCAGTCAGTAAATGAATGTGTCATTTATTTAAAAGAAGACTTACCGTACTCAGAACTTTAATTTATAGACTTGTAGAATGACTTACTACTATGATTTGTGCCCTCTGAAGTTCCTGTCAAAATCTGATTCCTAATGTAATGGTGTTCAAAGTTGGTGGGGCCATTAGGAGGGATTAACAGGGACTGAGTTAACTATCAAGATGACTGAACCAGTTACCACAAGAGCAGGTCATTATAAAGCAGGGCTCATGGTTTGCCTCTTGCACAATACCTACTCGCCCTTCACCATGAATTGAAATAGCATGAGGCCCTCCCCAGAAGCCAAGCAGATACCAGCACCATATTCTTGGACTTCCCATACTCCAGAACCATGGGCCAAAATAAACCTCTATTCTCTCATAAATTACTCAGTCTTGGGCATTTTGTTACAGCAACACAAAACAGACTATAACACTCAGGATCTTGGGAAACATTTTAAAATACATATTTAATTTCTTGGATTTATAGAATTCCTTAATTGGGAAGTTTCCGTTCATTTATCAGATAACTGAAGCCCTTAAACAGAAAATACAACACATTGATTTTATAAGGGCAATTGAAAATGTTTCAAGGAATTTAATCAGCCAACTATGTGAAATAGAATCAACACTAAACAAAGGTCTTCATAGAGGCAATTATTTTGCTTCTGCTTCTGGCCAGGATGGTGTAGCAAGATTGGATTTACCCTTCTACCTGGTGGCCCACTCCCCAGGAAACAGCATACAAAAGATATGAATCATCCAATATCAGACACCGAGGGACAGTGATTCCTGAGAGATGGCAAACAAATGGCCCCACAATGGCCCCAGATTATGGACTTGAAGGAGTTTTCAGGAAGCAGCAAGGAGAAGTGGACCCAGCCGGAGGAGAGCAAGACCCCTGAGTTGAGGAGATGCAGGGATGAGGGTCTTGGAGACCAAGGCAGGTCAACTTCATAGGACTGAGTTCCTGGAGCAGAGAGGACACAGAACCCCAGAGACCAACCAAGCATCCTCCCTTGGGTTTTAAGCCCAACACTGACCAGGGCATGTCTATAAGGAAAATGTTCAAGGCCAGGGAGATAACATCAGATAGTGTTAGAAGGAATGAGGTGTGGCTCACACAGGGCCAGGGCTCAGTGCCGAACTGGAGAAACTCCTAGGGCACTGGAGGGAGTACGCAGGATGGTTTTGCTTAGATCATTGGAAACACGGCTGCAAGCTGGGCATGTCTCTGGACACACCTAAGAAATCATAAAAGCAAGACCTCCAAAGGATCCGACCATTTCCAAGTGGCTGAACTGCATCCTGGAAGGAGGGTAGGAGATTTATAAGAAAACAAAAACATCCAGCACCCTACAAGGTAAAATTCACTCTGCCTGGTGCCCAGTCATTAGGTGTCCAAAATACACATAGAAAAATGAATCTCAGAAGATTTTAAAAGATCTTCAGGGGGCTGGGTGTGGCTCGGTGGTGGAGTGCTTGCCTAGCCTGTGCGAGGGCCTGGGTTCAATCCCAAGTTCTTTAAAAAAAAAAAAAGCGGGGCGGTGGGGGGAACATCACTGAGCTTTGGGATAACTTTAAGCAGCCTCGTGTATGAATAGCTAGAGTCCCTGAAGGCAAGGAGAGCAGAAAGGAAGCAAGAAATATGTGAACAAATAACAGCCCACAAGGTTCAAACTCAAACAAAACTATAAGTCCCAGGAGTCGAGAAGTTTTGACAACACAGAAACAGGAAGAAAACTTCCAAGGAGTTCAGATTCTATAGATACTAAAAATGAATTCTTAAAAACACCTCTATTCAATCAATCAATCCGACAGCTTAAATTAAATGAACAAATCCCCTGAAAGACAAATCACAAAACCTCACTCAGAAAGTACATTACCTGAATAACTCTGTATTCATTAAGGAAACTGAGGCCATCCATAGTTGTAAAACCTTCCCACATAAAAAATACTACACCCCAAACATCGAACAGGTGAATTTTATCCGGTAGTGAAGGAAGAAATTATACCAATTCTTACACAAGCTCTGACCAAAATCGAAAAGAAAAGATTCTGAATTTATTCTAGAGGCCAGCATCACTGGGACATGAAATCCAGACATAGAAATTTCAAGAAAAGAAAAACAAACCACAGACCAATATCCTTTGTGAACCCAGATGAAAAAAAAAAAATTCTAAACATCATTTTAGCAAATTTAGTTGAACCACACACACTGAAAGAAAAACACATCATGCCCAAGTGAAGTTCTAAGAATGCACTATTGGTTTAACATTTTAAAATTCAAACAGTGTGATTCACTTGTGTGTGTGTGTGTGTGTGTGTGTGTGTGTGTGTGAGCGTGGGTCAGGGTGGTGGAGATAGAACCCCCAGAGCCTGGTGCATGCTAGGCGACCGCACCACCCCAAGCCACACCCTGGTCCTATGACTCACGATTTTACCAAACTCCAAGAGAGACACCATAAGATCATTTCAATTCAAAAATCTCAGCACTTCAGGAAAAGAAAAAATTTTGAGCAAACTACAAATGTGGGGAGCCACACTGAATGACCACGCCTTTCAGTCCTGATGCCCCAGGCTCTGACCAACTACTGTCTTTGTTGTGGCTTGGACAGAGACCCACTCGGATAGCAAGGAGGTCTTCTTTGTGGGTGTGCCCCCAGGGTTGAGTTACACTCACCTGTTTCCTTGTAATCCTACCCCGTCTGCCCTTTTATGGATAGAACTTTCTAAGAACAGTGTCGTCCCCCACCCCATAAAAGCTCACTTCTGAACATGCTCCCTCTCTCTTGTCAGCCTCTCGTGACTTTCTCTTGCTCTCCCTTTAGGGGAACCGGAGGCTGAGAGCCGGGGAAGCTGTCCTGAAGCTTGTAAATTGTATCTGTGTTTTATGAGGTGTCCCTGTAAATTCACACGAGCGATCTGAGTTCAGCTGCCCGCGCTGGTCGGGGGGAACAGCATAGGAATAAAAGGGAACTCCTTCAACCCAGTAAAGAACCACTAGGGAAAAATTACAGTGGACACTATACTTAATGGTGAATGCCTGAAGTCTTTCCCCCAAGATCAGGAACAAGACAGAGACGTCTGCCTGCTCGGATTCTGTGTAACATCTTACCCAGGGCACTTGTTTATTCTTAAGAAAGAAATAAAGATGGGGGAGGCGGGGAAAGAAAGAAAAGAAAGGCAGGAAGGGAAAGAAGAGGAAGAAGAAGAGCAGAGGTAGAGGGGAAGGAGAAGAAACCTCTAAAAGCCATGCCAAAGATGGCCGGCTAACTACCAGAAGCTACAGGAAGGCATGGGATAGATTCTCCCCAACGGTCCTCAGAAAAAACTAACTCAGCCAACACCTGCATCCTAAGACAACACGTTTTTGTTATTTCAGCCACCCAGTGTGTGCTACTTTCTCCATCCCGGGCCAGCCACCCACACCCTCTTCCTTGCGCCTTACACAACACTCAAGACTTATGGCTGCAGGCTGTGCGGTCTCAGTCGCTGCCCCCCTGCATCACCTCCCACACCCACCCACCACCTTCCAG